CAAAAGCATCCTCTGCAAATTACAACTCGGGCCCGGGGGCCAGATTTCAAATTTGAGCTGTTGCCGCTTCACTCGCCGTTACTGGGGCAATCCCTGTTGGTTTCTTTTCCTCCGCTTATTGATATGCTTAAGTTCAGCGGGTATTCCTACCTGATCCGAGGTCAACTCGAAAGGGGCGTCCTGGTGGACGCGGGTTTTAGCGGCTGGAAGTCCGAAGAGGCCGCCGAGCGAGGGCGCGTTTTACCGCGAGCTACTGCGCTCGGAGCCCCCAGCGGGACCGCCGATGTACTTGGGGGCCCCGGCCGCCAGGCGGCCGGGTGCCCCAACACCAAGCTGGGCTTGAGTGGTGAAATGACGCTCGGACAGGCATGCCCGCCGGAATACCGGCGGGCGCAATGTGCGTTCAAAGATTCGATGATTCACTAAATTCTGCAATTCACATTACTTATCGCATTTCGCTGCGTTCTTCATCGATGCCAGAACCAAGAGATCCGTTGTTGAAAGTTTTAATTTTTCAGGTTCTTTTCGTACTCAGAGATACACTAAAATTCAGGGTTTTGAACCTCCGGCGGCGACGGGGCGCCGCCGAAGCAACAGTAAAGGTAAGGTTCACAGGGGTTGGAGTTTTGCAACTCTGTAATGATCCCTCCGCTGGTTCACCAACGGAGACCTTGTTACGACTTTTACTTCCTCTAAACGACCGAGTTCGTACAACTTTCCGGCACCTGGGTGGTAGTTGCCCACCTCCCTGGGCCAGTCCGAAGGCCTCACTGAGCCGTTCAATCGGTAGTAGCGACGGGCGGTGTGTACAAAGGGCAGGGACGTAATCAACGCAAGCTGATGACTTGCGCTTACTAGGGATTCCTCGTTGAAGAGCAATAATTGCAATGCTCTATCCCCAGCACGACACAGTTTAACAAGATTACCCGGGCCTCTCGGCCAAGGAAGGACTCGCTGGCTGTGTCAGTGTAGCGCGCGTGCGGCCCAGAACATCTAAGGGCATCACAGCATCGGCGGGGCCCTGAAGCGACCCCGCCACACCGGCAGCCCACAAGGGGGGCTGCCCCCCCGCACCTCGGCCTGTCGGGCCTCATTGCGGGGGACCGGTTTATCATCCCGGCGGATTAGCACGTACCTTAAGCCCGAAGGCCCACTCCTTTCCGCGCGTTGCGACGGCCCCGGCGTTTACTCGGGGCTCGCCACAGGATCGGCCGGCGCGGGGCGACGCAAAGCGCCCCGCGATGACGGCGTTCCCTGTACCAGGTAGTGTCGCCCACGCCAGGCGGGCCCTGAGGCCCGTCAGTCCGCCCGACAGACGGGGACTTCCCCGCGGACTACGGCGTTGGACTAGCGCACGAGTGCACTGTTACAGGCCTGTGAAAGGTTAACCTGTTATTGCCTCAAACTTCCATCGGCTTGAGCCGATAGTCCCTCTAAGAAGCCTGCGCGCCGCCAAAGCGACGCGGGCTATTTAGCAGGTTAAGGTCTCGTTCGTTATCGCAATTAAGCAGACAAATCACTCCACCAACTAAGAACGGCCATGCACCACCACCCACAAAATCAAGAAAGAGCTCTCAATCTGTCAATCCTCGTTGTGTCTGGCATTTAAAACAGGCGGCTTTACACCACCCCTATCCTGCTTCGTAAACTCGGAACTATTCAGGATAGCCACGGTTGCCCGTGGGATTAGCACGTACCTTAAGCCTTTCGGCCCACCGCTTAGCGTGCGTTGCGACGGCCCGACGCTACTCGGGCTCGCCACAGAGTTGGCTCCGTAGAGAGCGTTCCCTGTACCAGCTGGTGTCGCACTAACCAAGTCTTTACAGACTCCCAACGCCTCGAGTCGGGGGCTCATAGCTTCCCCCACGTGGGTAAAGATTAGTACTAGCAGAATAAATCCACTATTCCAGGCCCAAATCAACCTGGTGAGTTTCCCCGTGTTGAGTCAAATTAAGCCGCAGGCTCCACCCCTGGTGGTGCCCTTCCGTCAATTTCTTTAAGTTTCAGCCTTGCGACCATACTCCCCCCAGAACCCAGAAACTTGTACTTTCGTGTAAGGTGCCGAGCGGGTCAAATAATAACACCGCCCGATCCCTGGTCGGCATAGTTTATGGTTAAGACTACAACGGTATCTGATCGTTTTCGATCCCCTAACTTTCGTTCCTGATTAATGAAAACATCCTTGACGAATGCTTTCGCAGTAGTTAGTCTTCAATAAATCCAAGAATTTCACCTCTGACAATTGAATACTGACGCCCCCGACTGTCCCTATTAATCATTACGGCGGTCCTAGAAACCAACAAAATAGAACCACACGTCCTATTCTATTATTCCATGCTAATGTATTCGAGCATAGGCCTGCTTTGAACACTCTAATTTTTTCAAAGTAAAAGTCCTGGTTCCCCGCCACGCCCAGTAAAGGGCATGGGGCTCCCCAGAGGGAAAGGCCCGGCCGGACCAGTGCACGCGGTGAGGCGGACCGGCCAGCCAGGCCCAAGGTTCAACTACGAGCTTTTTAACTGCAACAACTTTAATATACGCTATTGGAGCTGGAATTACCGCGGCTGCTGGCCATTTTTAGGCTGTATTACTTGCGAGGTTAGGGGGGCGGGGGGGCCCCCTAGCCTCGACACCACGTCCATTCGTGCAGCGGGCACTCTTGGACGCGGCCCCGCTTTCGCGGGGGATCGGCACGTACCTTAAGCCCAGCTCGACCGAGCCGGACCGACACCTTTGCGCGCTCTACACGGGTCCGTCAGTGGACTCCGCTCGGGATTGGCATAGCGCCCTTCGGCACCTTAGCGTCCCCCGATCCAGGTTGTCTCGCCGGCATCCTCCCGCTGATGGCGGATGCTCGACTAGCGTGGGCTATTTAACCGCTATCTCTGGCACCAGCATCGGAACTGGAACGTTCACCAGACTTGCCCTCCAATTGTTCCTCGTTAAGAGATTTAAATTGTACTCATTCCAATTACAAGACCCAAAAGAGCCCTGTATCAGTATTTCTCGTCACTACCTCGCCGTGTCGGCATTGGGTAATTTGCGCGCCTGCTGCCTTCCTTGGATGTAAACGCCGTTTCTCAGGCGTTTTCTCCGGGGTCGAGCCCTAACCCTCCGTTACCCGTTGTCACCACGGCTGGCCAAGACCCAGCCGTCGAAAGTTGATAGGGCAGAAATTTGAATGAACCATCGCCGGCGCAAGGCCGTGCGATTCGAGAAGTTATCATGAATCACCAGTGAGCCCCGAAGGGCATTGGTTTTTAATCTAATAAATACACCCCTTCCGAAGTCGGGGTTTTCAGCATGTATTAGCTCTAGAATTACCACGGTTATCCATGTAGTAAGGTACTATCAAATAAACGATAACTGATTTAATGAGCCATTCGCAGTTTCGCTGTATAATTGCTTATACTTAGACATGCATGGCTTAATCTTTAAGACAAGCATATGACTACTGGCAGAATCAACCAGGTAACTATCGTGCGCCGGGGTTGGCCACCGCCCCTCTGAAGGGGCGGAGAATTAGTCACTGGAGGGGGCGCGCCGTTGGTTTTCAGGCCTCGACGCGCCCCGCCGCCTGCGGGCGACCGCCGGCGAGCGCCGGAGGTGCCCACAGAGGCATCCGCTTTCCCCCTCTCTGTTCCCCAGGCTGCTTTCGGCGGGCACGAGGCCCCCTTTTTCAGGGGGGGGCCGGGTGCCGCCTAGGCCGCCCAGGAGGAGTCCTCGCCCCGCAGGTTCAGCTGTTCAGCGTCCCCTGCGGGTGGGTGTCTCCTGCTGCTCGTCGGAGTGCTGGCCAGGGGCCAAACGTCCTCAGAGCCCAACCTGGGACGACGGCGCCAGGTGGCGCCGCCGCACAGGGCATACCGGTTGAGCACAAGCGCCGTAGCGTGCACCGCTCCAGTGGTTGGCCGCCGCCATGATCCGCCTTGACCGAGGTGTATCTCCTACAAGGCTGCATAACGGTCCACGCGACGACGGCCGGTTCAAATGAGGGACGTCCCGGCATCCCAGCGACTTGGTTACAAGGGCTGGGCCCGGGAGGTGCAGCGAGCCCCACACACCTGGGCGCCCTGTAGGGGCGGGTCCAGAGGGGAGCCAGCCTTCGACGCCCGCCCCAGCGACCGCGGGGGCCTGGAGGCTCCCGCGACCGCCAGAACGATCGCCCAATTCCGACAGGGTCCACCGTCCACCCGCCGCATCGCTACTAGGGCCCCCCACGCTGGCGACCGTCCCTGCCCTCTCCGAGGATCAGGCTGGGGGCGGGCGCTCACACGGGGGGCATCCTTTTCGAAATGGGCGGGGGTGCCCATCCGCAACGCAGCCGGCGCCCTCCTGAACGCCCTGGAGGGCACAAGAGAGACCTAGCCGCAGCGGGCGGGCGCTGCAGCAAACCCCGTCTTGAACGCCCTGGAGGGCACAAGAGGGACCTGACCGCAGCGGACGGGTGCTGCAGCAGGCCCCGTCTTGAACGCCCGGGGGCGCAAGAGGGGAACTAACTGCAGCGGGGTTGCAGAGGGCGTGCAGCGGTTAGCGTGCCCTGCAGGCGCCACGGGGGCGACCCACAGGGCAGCTAGCCACTGTACGAGACACGCCGCAGCGGCCCCGACCGTCGCGCCCACAGGGGCGCTTCAGAGGGAGCCACAGCGGCGCCGCGCTGCAGAACCGCGGTCGCATGCGCTGTGAAGCACCTGCAACCACTGAACGCCGCGCCCCAACCGCCGAGATTGAGTGCCCTTCGTCGGTCTCCCGACTCCAGACCCTCTCTCTCATATACTCTCCGACATCGGTACCGCGGGATTTGCGCGGGCGGGGGTTCCGGTGACGCGAGTCAATTCCCGAAAAATTATTTTGTATGGGGTTTTCAAAAAATCGACCCACCGCCACCAAACCCATCTCCGCGTTGGGCCGACAAATCTGACTTGGTCGTGGGGAGACTCAACTCGCGACCCGCACCACAACAAGCCACCAGCCAGGCCGTCAGCGGTGGGGTGCAGTGGTTCCTAGGGGTTGTTTAGGCCTGCGAAACGCGTGGGACCACTGGGAAAGTGCCTAGAGCGCCCCCTGGGCCGGAACCTCAAAAGTGTCGTTCAAACCTACCCTGCACCGGCCGACCTACCCTGCACCGGCCGACCTACCCTGCACCAACCCTGCACCTCGCTCTGTGCAGCGGCAACGCAGCCACCGGGGGTGCGGTACAGTGGTTCCTAAGGGTTGTTTTAGCCTGCAAGACGCGCGGGACCACTGGAAAAGCGCCTAGGGCGCCCCCAGGGCCGGCAATCCAAAAATGTCCCTCCCGACCTACCCTGCACCGCCCGACCTACCCTGTACTTACCATGCACCGCGCTTTGTGCAACGGCAACGCGGCCACCAGGGGCGGGGTACGGCGGTCCCTAGGGGTTATTTAGGCCTAGGAAACGCGGGGGACTGTTAAAAAAGTGCTTAGGGCGGCCTATGGGTCGGCAATGTAAAAAGGACACTTTTAACCTACTTTAACTAAATTTACCTTATACCTTCCTTGCACCTCGTTCTGATCAACGGCAACGCGGCCACCAAGGGTAAGGTGCAATGGCTCCTAAGGGTTGTTTAAGCCTGCGAAACGCGTGGGACCACTAGAAAGGTGCTTAAGGCGCCCCCTGGGCCGGCAACCAAAAAGATCCCTCCTGACCTACCCTGTACTTTGAAAATATTTCACCAAGTTAAAATCGCACTCAACCTACCCTGCACTTTGAAAATAAAAATATTTCACCAAGTCAAATTTGCACCTAACCTACCCTGCACCTACCCTGTACACACCTTACACCGCTCAGCACAAAAGATTTCACCAAGTCAAATCCACGCGTGACC